GGAGCGAGATTCTGTCTCAAAAAAAAAAAAAAAAAAAAAAAAATTGTCACGATTACTCCTAGTAAGCCAAGTGGTGGCAGCAAGTGGCACATCCCGCAGGAACATGGATTTGAAGAAAGCAGAGGATTTCAATGACAATCTCACATCTCATTTAGCTTGTTTCTGAAGTCTACCAATGAAGATCATGTATCAGACAGTGAGAAGCCATTTCACTTATACTCCACTTTCAGCTTTTAGACTCAGTCTGGTCAAGACTTATAAAATGCAAAAACAAAAATGAAAGCTGTATGAAAGCAATAGAAAGCCTTGATATTTATAAAACAAATTTATTTAAATAAATTTTTATAAAGTCACTTTCCAAAAATACCAAATGACTGAAATCATACCAAGTATATTCTATGAATATACATAATGAAAATAACAAAGGACAAATAGAACAATCTCCAAATGTTTGAAAATTAAGATTTATATTTCTAAATAGGCCACAGTACAAGGTAGACTGCAGTAGAAATCAGAAAACTTTTTGGACAGAAAAATAATTTAGAAATTTATGTCATATTGAAAATAGAGAGATGCAGCTAAAGCAGTAGTAAGAGGAAATATTGTAGCTTTGTTATAGGTATGAAGTAAAAGATTCAATATTGTCAATGCCAATTTTCACCAAGTTTATCTACAGAGTCAGTGTAATTCTAATACGATTTCAGTAGTTTTATGATAAGATGTTTCTAAAATTTATTTCAAAACCTGGAGATCCAAGAATAAGGCAGTTCTAAAAGTGAAAAACAAAGATGAAAGTTACACCATCTGTAACACATATTACAAAGGCAAGATAAACAGTATGGCATTTGCCCTGGGATAAATAAGTAGACAAAGAAAATACAGTAAAGAATTCAAAGACAGAACTAAAACATAGTCACTTAATTTTTAACAACGATGCCTTGAACATGCTGTGAAGAAGTTTTTTCAAACAAATGACCCCCCATTTGTATAAAAATTAACCTTTACTGCTACTTCATACCATAAGCAAAAATAAAGTCCAGACTTAACACAGACTTAAGTCTGAACAGCAAAATAATATAGTATCTAGAACAGAACAAACAAGAAAATCTCCATGACCTTGTAATGATAAATAGTTTTTATACAGGATGCAGTGAGCATCAACAATAAAGGAGTAATTAACAAATCAGATTTCATTAAAACTAAGAATTTCCATTTATGTAAAGACATCATTGGAAGAGTGAAAAGGCAAGCCTCAAATGGATGAAGATACTTGAAATACATATATCCAACAAAGGATTAAAATCTAGCCTAATCATCAATAAGAATGGGCCAATAAAAACAGCAACAATAACACTGGGCAAAATATTTGCAGAGGCACCTTCTCCAAGAGAATATGGAAATGGCCAATAAGCATATGAGAAGATGCTCAATATAATTAGCCATCAGAGAAATGAAAATTAAAGATACAACATGATACCTATCCACCAGAATGGCTAAAATAAAAAGAACAAGGTGCCAAGTTTTGCAAGGATATGGAGCAAGCAGAACATTAACATAGTGTTTGTGAGAGTGTAAATTGCTACAACCACTTAGAAAACTGACTGACCAATATCTATTGAAATTGAACATATATATAGCCTATTAGATCAGCAATCCTAATCCTAAGTATATACTCAACAGAAATGTATATGTGTAGGCATCTGAAAGACATGTACAAGAATGCTCACAGCAGCACTATATATAATAACCCAAACTAGGAAAAACCCAAACATCTACTATCAGTAGAACAGATCCATTGTATTATATTCATACAATGGAATACTATACAACAATGTAAAATAAACCACTGTTTTATCCAACATGTATTGGTCTTATAAACACAAAACTGAGCCAAGCAATCCAGACACAGAATTCTGCGATTCTATTTATATAAAGCTCAAAGAAAGATAAAGGTAATCTATGGTAGAGGTCGAAATAGTGGTTCCCTCTGCGGAGGGCATTGACTGCAAGGGGGATTGAGAAGGCTTTCTGAGATGTCTGCAATATTCTACATCTTGATCTGTGAAGGTGTTATGTGGATGTGTTTACTTTGTGAAATTCATTGAGCTATATATTTAATACTTATGCCTTTTATTGCATGCATGATATTCCTTAGGCATCCGCACACCTGCATGCAATTTGGGTGAACATGTAAGTTGATAATAACCATGTGGTCGAAGATCTCTTTGGCAGCTGTGTGGAAGATCAGATGGTGAAAGAGGAAAAGTGACAAAGGCTTGAGCAAAGTATTAACAGACCTGAAATAAGGCAGGTGGGTGAGGAGGAAATGTGGTATCTAGAAGACAGACAGAGTGGGTAGAGTCTATAGACCGTGGCTCCTTAGATGTGGCGTATGAGAGTGCAGAGTTGAGTTTCTAATGTGAATGACTGAGCAGATGGACATTTATGTACAGGGACAGATGCTGTGTTGGTGCAGGGAGGGAAAGAAAGCACGTGAGCTGAGTCAACACGTTGCATTTGAGATGTTTATATGAGGGATATAGGCGGAGATGGTTAGGAAGTGAAATTAAGAAAACTGATTAGTAAAACCCGTTTTGAATTTACAGAGACTCTTGTGTAAAATTAAATCCCTCCCTGGGTGCAAGGACTTCATGAGGGCTAGGTTTCAAAAGCACCTCACCTGCAAGCCACAGTTTGAGGCCTTGAAGACATGGTTTCTGACTTCCGAGTCAAGGAGATAGGCAAAGCGTGGGGAGCAAAAGGAACAGGAATGACCTGCACACCACCCATCAGGGGAACCTTGGCCAGCTGTCTCACTTCTCCAGCCTGCCTGGCCTTTTCTGGGCCTACTTAAACCTGCACTAAATCTTTACCATTTATTGGGAAGCCATGCTTTTATTCTTTTTCACAACATATTTGATTAGTTTCTACATTCAGTAACTCTTACAGCTGAAATTGCTCATGGCACATTTTATATTTACCTATTTTTTTTTGTGAGATATTTCTGGAAAAAACTTTCTAGATTTTTGCTAAAACACTAGAATCCCTCCCTGCAAAAAAAGATAACTCTTAAGCAAGATATTCATTCACAGATTTAAAATAGTCTCATAAAATTATTTCTAAAATGCACTGTTATTTAATATATGTCTACCAAAGGACAAGAGTAGAGAAATACAATAACTGTATTTTAAAGATTTATACACGTTCTACATACAGCATACACATCATGTGCATTACTAAGAGCCAGAGAGGCCTACTATTGCTACCTAGAAAATAGCTATGAGAAAATAGGGTCCTGCTTATTGCTTTACTCCTATGAAGGAAAATAATTTGTTTTCATATTTTGATAAGAAGTCTTATTATATATCAACAGAACCTAAGTTGTTGTAGTATCTACATATGCTTGGAAATTCAAACACTTCTTTTTCTGTGAGATGGAATTACTGTAATGAAATTTTAATGTATAGTTCACAATAGAAACATAAACCAGGCCTTTATTTGTGCATTTGTCAATCGCTATTTACAGTAGCAAATATTCAGCAACTCCTAAGAAAATCTGTCAGGCTTCCTAATATCCCCCAGTTTTAACTTTTGGTTGAGTTTACAAGATTTAGCATGGGCTATGGCAAGAAAGAGAGCTGTGGATGTCTCAGGCTCCCTCCTTCTCTTCCTAACACATCGGCTTTTTATCCTGCCGGGATAATCAAACGCAAAGAGATGCTACTAAACCCCATGAGGAAAATCATCTGCAAATACAGGACCCTCAGTTAACCAAAAGTAATCAATTCCTCAGAAAAAAAAGTGTTGTCTAACAAATTATCAGATGGTGAGAATCCAATTTTACATTTTTTAAAAATAGGAAAAGTAAGAATACATTTCTAAGCCACATTGATTGTTATCTGTCAATCCACTGAACTAGGCACTTACAAGTTCTTCACACACATTCTGCTGCACCCAGGTAGCACAGCACAGCTTTTCAAACATACGACTATCTCATGTTTTATTTTCCTGCGCGTAGAAAACGTGTGCATGGTGATAGGGACATGTGCCTAGCCAAGCTTATGTCTTCTATATGTCTATGACTTTCAATATGCTTTATCACTTCCAATTTTTCTTCTCCAGAAGGAAGGGCCACTGGGGCTCACTTATTTGATTCCTGTTCTGTTCCATTTTTAGAAGGAATTGCCACTTAAAAATGTGGGGAAGATGACAAGCAAAAAATGCACAATCTGTTTAAATAGCACAAACATGAGCTGTAACACCATCAGGCGGAACATGAATGACTCACTGAGGTCAGTGCCCTGTCCTCTTCTAGGGACACCCGGCAGCTTGAACATTTTCACTGGCTCAAACATGCCTTTCAGAGGCTTACACTTTGGATAATAAATTCCAGGTAACAATTTTTACAAAACAGTAAAAACTATTTGGATGTGAGAGCTCAATTCGGTTGAGATTACAGCAAAATAAAGTTATTTTGGAATTATTTTCAGTCTTCATGAGATTGTGAGAAAAATTGCAAAGTGGCTATATAAATGGTGTTCTCCTGTGGAATTGTCTTAAAACTCATGAATCAGGCAATGTTTCATAGACTCCAGGACCTGACTATATTATTTTTTAAATATATAGCATGAAAAGAATTTTCATTTGGCAGGCAAGAGAAAAGTAGAGATCCAGTGTGTATTCTGATGAGAAGTGGTTCTTCTCTGTAATCACACCGTTGAAATGTTCAGAAAGGGAAAGATTCTTCTTTCTAGTTTATCATCATTTATTGGCCAGTAGATTATTTTGCTTACACTAATAAGCAACAGTTTTTTTTAATCCCAATATATTAGTTAGTTCCTCCACTTAAAAACTTTAATCGAGCTGTTTTTCAAAGGAGATGCAAATGTACTATGTACTAAGTGAAATGTACTAAAAATATTATATATTATTTTAAGGGAAATTAAAAGTATCTTAACAGAAAGCCCAGTGGTAGAGTAGCATATCAACCTTGGTCTTACCCTTTAATTTCAAGGCTTCTAATACCTTTGAATCAGCTGTTACATCACTCACTAGCTTGATTTCAATATTTTGTGAAGTCAGTTGGAGCAACTTTTCAAAAAGACGTTGACCCTGGAAAAAATATTCAGAGACAAAGAAAGTCAGAAAACCTAAATGTTTACCAATTTAGATAGGCAAAAATAAACTCATAAAAATCTATTCATTCAAATGTTAAAAAGGCAAGCATTTCAACAATTGGTATTCAGATTTATGAAATTCTTTCAAAAGAGTTTCTATCAATAGAGTAGTAGCATGAACACAGATTGTGGTTTTTTGAGGGTATTGTGCAATTAAACAATTATTGCAATAATAATTCCATTGCCACAATGCAAATCTACCCTTTTCTGCTTTTTGGATCTGTAGTTATCTACACACAAAGAGGCAGCAAAGATTAAGCAGTTGTGGTTTGGCCCAAAGAGACCTAGATTCCAGCTGGTTTTCCAATTTGCAAGCGTTTTTAATCTCACTAATCTCCAGTTTCTTCCTCTGCAAAATGCAGATAATATTAATATTTACTTCAAAAGGTTTTTGTGAGATTAAAGAATAGTAAGTAAGCATTCGTTAAGTATTAGCTATTAAGAGGGAAATTATGGTTACTAATCAGTGATTTACCTGAATTCATGTTGTTTAAATGTATTTTAATGAATCAACTAATGTTCTACCTAAAAATAACTGAAATAAAAAACAAAACCAAAACTAAAAGTTTTTCAGCCAGGCATGGTGGTTCATGCCTCTAATCCCAGCACTTTGGGAGGCTGAGGCAGGTGGATCACTTGAGGCCAAGAGTCTGAAGAACAGTCCAGCCTGGTCAACCTGGTGAAACCCTGTCTCCACTAAAAATACAAAAATTAGCTGGGCATGGTGATGTGCGCTTGTAGTCCTAGCTACTCAGGAGGCTGAGGCAGGAGAATTGCTTGAACCTAGGAGGCAGAGGTTACAGTGAGCCAAGGTTGCACCAGAGCACTCCAGCCTGGGCGACAGAGCGAGACTACATCTCAACAAACAAAAACAAACAAACAAATAAACAAAAGTTTTCCTTATAAGATTTTCAAAAGCATATAATTTTTAGAGTAAGTTTTAATCTCAGGCAGACTGAATAACAGTAGGTCCACAGTCATTGCATTATCTCAGGTCACTGGATTGCACCATTATCCTATTTACCATCCTTTGTATGTTTTAATAGACTCCCGTCTGTCTCCTTATGATAAAAGGAAAATGGTCTACTTTTACTGATTTTTTAGATTTTTGCTGTTCAGTCACAAACTCAAATGCCTTCAGGAGCTAAACAGAGAATAAGGCTTTGGTCTTAATGGCCCCACAGCGGCAAGGTCTTACCTTACTCTGGTAAGAAGGGACTGTGGATAATGATACGGAATGGGTTTGGTGACTGGGAAGAGAGAATGGTAGAAATGTGGAGGCAGAGTGGTGATTCCTGCAATTCGGAGGCTCACACCTGTAATCCCAGCACTTTGGGAGGCAAAGGCGGGCAGAACACCTGAGGTAAGGAGTTTGAGACCAGGCTGGTCAACACAGGGAAACCCAGTCTCTACTAAAAATACAAAAATTGCTGGGCATGGTGGTGGGCGCCTGTAATCCCAGCTACTCTGGAGGCTGAGGCAGGAGAATTGCTGGAACCTGGGAGGTGGAGGTTACAGTGAGCTGAGATTGTGTCACTGCACTCCAGCCTGGGTGACAGAGTGAGACTCAAAAAACAAAAAACAAGAAACAAAAAAACAAAAAAACAAGAAACAAAACAGAAACAAAAAAAACAAAACAAAAAACAAAAAAACAAGAAACAAAAAAACAAAAAACAAAATGAGTGAATGTAATTCAGAAAGCATTAGGAGGCCGTACTGCATATCTCTGCATAGAGTAGGGTTTAATACCTTTGGAAATGATTACATTTTGAATGTCTTCACAAAAATTATTGTATGGGGAGATAACACACAGAAGATGAGAGATTTAATAGAAATTCTACCTCAAGCCTAAGTAGAGAAACTCTCCCCAAGCCCAGGATCATTACAGTGAGTACTATAATTAAAAACTGTAGTATTCCTTGGTGTAAATAATCAGCACATACTAAAAGTAAAAATAAGCTTTATTTAATGACAAACAAAAAAACAAAAAAACAAAAAAACAAGAAACAAGAAACAAAAAAACAAAAAAACAAGAAAAAGAAAAAAAAAAAAGAAAAAAACAAAAAAAACACAAAAAAACAAGAAAAAACAAAACAAAAATCAAGACCAAAAAAAACAAGAAAAAAAAACCAGAGAAAAGAGGAAGGGAAGGGAAGGCGAAGGGGAAGGGGAAGGGAAGGGAAGAAGGGGCTGAAGATCAAGACCCTGAAGCTTTGGCGGGTTAGGAGGAAGAAGCTGCTGTTCTTGTGCTGCGGCGACAGCTGACAGCAGGCAGGGGTATCTGGCACATCCAGCTGTGCTCTAGCCTGGAGTTGGCTGGCACAGCCATCGTTCCATAACCCCTGGGTGTTGGAGGACAGAGTGGAAGTTGCACTGTTGCACCTGTGCCATGCATGGAGGCTTCCATTTAGTTTAAGTGTAGAAATGAAAGTTGCTCAAAGTGGAGCTCATCAAAAGTGATTAAATTTCTCTATGCTCCAAAAGCCTGCAGGAAGTCTCACCGCAAACCAGGTATTCTGGTGTGGTATGTTGAGTGCATCAGATGGTTATTAACTTCTTATTTAAAAAAGAGGCAGAGGCTGAGCTTATCCTTGTAATCCCAGTGCTTTGGGAGGCCAAGGTGGGGGAATCACTTGAGCCCAGGAGTTCGAGACCAGCCTGGGAAATACCGGGAGACCTTGCCTCTACAAAAAGTTAAAAGAAAATAGCCAGGCATGATGCTGCACGTCTGTAGTCCCTGCTACTCAGGAGGATGAGGTTGTGCTTGAGCCTGGGAGTCTGAGGATGCAGTGAGCCATGATTGTGCCACTGCACTCCAGCCTGGGCAACACAGCTAGACCCCATCTCCAAAAAAAAAAAAAAAAAAAAAGAGGCAGGAGGGGAGAGGGAGGGTGAGAGAGAGCGACAGAGACAACTGGACAGACAGGAAGGACAGGAAAGAAAAACAAGCCGGTGCTGATTTGCTGATTTCAGTGTCTATGTAAATTTTAAATTTACTGTGTAGAGGTAGGGGCCTGGATGGTGAGAGGCTCAGGCACAAGATGTGAGGGAGAATCCACATCAAAGGGCTTTGTGGTTCTTAGATAGAGTTGACACCAACAATACTTCCTTGTCAGCTTTGGCACTCCTCCAAGGAGTCCGTTCTACCCTTACTCCATTGAAAGTTTGGCGATGTGTGCGTGGCCCAGATTTCCAGAACCTAGACTGATGTCATCACGTGTTCATGTAAGTCGTTTGCATTTTTTCCTTTCATACAAATGAACGCTCTGTGTGTTCCGTAAGGCCCCATGGTCAGCGGGCTCGTAGTTTTTGGCCAATTCATTTATTTTTCCTGTTAGTTAACGGAATATATTTGGCACGGCTGAAACATTCAAGAGACCATCTAACTTATCTGTATTTCTGGCTCTGTGCCTTCAATTGATTTCCACTGTGTTATTTTTGTGGGACTTAAAAGACAACCAGAACTCTCACAGATGAATGAAAATAGAAATTCCAAAATCTACAGATACTGGCAGACTGTCATTAAATAAAGCTTATTTTTACTTTTAGTATGTGCTGATTACTTACACCAAGAAATCCTACAATTTTTAATTATAGTACTCACTGTAATGATCCTGGGCTTGCGGAGAGTTTCTCTACTTAGGCTTGAGGTAGAATTTCTATTAAATCTCTCATCTTCTGTGTGTTATCTCCCCATACAATAATTTTTGTGAAGACATTCAAAATGTAATCATTTCCAAAGGTATTAAACCCTACTCTATGCAGAGATCTCCAGTAAGGCCTCCTAATGCTTTCTGAGTTACAGTCACTTATTTTTTTTTAAATTTAAATTTAAATTTTAATGTTTGAGACAGAGTCTCACTCTGTCGCCCAGGCTGGGGTACAGTGATGTGATCTCGGCTCACTGCAACCTCCGCCTCCTGGGTTCAAGTGATTCTCCTGCCTCAGTCTCCCATGTAGCTGGGACTACAGGCACCTGCCGCCACGCCTGACTAATTTTTGTACTTTTAGTAGAGATAGGGTTTCACTATGTTGGCCAGGCTGGTCTTGAACTCCTGACTTCAGGTGATCTGCTCCCCCTTGGCCTCCCAAAGTTCTGGGATTACAGGCGTGAGCCACTGTGCCCGGCCTCACTCATCTTTTATTTTTTTGAATAAGAAATAACAAAGGTGCCTTGGCTGTTAAACATCAGCAATATAAAACCTTGCCCTTGCTAGTAAAGAACATTAGCCAACATTTCAGACTTAGATAAATCATCTCAAAGACCATCAGTGTCTCAGGGACGCTGAGCTACTTTAGACCAATTTGTGAATGAAGTCTGTAAAAGCCTTATGATGTACAGTAGAGTCATATGCAGGAAGCTGTACCCCCAAAATAGAGATCCAGCTCAGCCCCTTTGTGACTTTAAGAGGATGCTTCATGTAGGAGACCCTTTCAATCCTGTAGGGGAGGAAATAAACCTGTTTATCTACCCTCCTAGGTTCAATGGCTGGGCCCAGGAATCAAACTGATGAAAAACTATCAAGAGAGAACCCACGTTTTAATTATATACACACAAAGTTTTAATTACGTGCATACAAGGGAATCCCGCAAAGAAACGAGACTCAAGGAGGTGGCCAGATGATTGAGGCTTAACTACTGTCTTAGGCTAAGCAAAGGAAAGTGACTTTGGGGCTTCCAGGTGGGGAAGGCAAGTTATAAGAAGGTGAGGAGAGGTATGGTAAATAAGGTTTGTTCTGCCATCCAGGTAAGAGCCTCTCAGGTGATGACAGCTGTCTCCAGCAGTCCCTCTCTTCCTTGTACATAGCCATCAGTTTTATGCAGTTAGAGAAAGGTAAAAAAACACTCTTCCCACACTGCTGGTTCTCAATTCCCTATAGCTCAAGATAATCCATACGCTAAAGGGGTCTATTTTGGGATGGCGTCTTCTGGTCC